TAGATAGATAGATAGATAGATAGATAGATAGATAGATAGATAGATAGATAGCATAAGCTATTCTGGACACTGCTAGAATGTGTAATATTATATATTTTATCTTTTTCGGATATTGATTTTGGATTATCCCCAATAGATAAGAGTTCTGGCTTGAATTCAATTTGTTGTCCAGTAATTTCTTGTATCCAATCTTTAATTTTGATCGAATAAGCCCTGGCCTTAAGACATAGTCACCACATGTGATAAAAGGTACCGTCAACTTGTTGGCACTTCCAACGTTTTGGCCTAGTATTTAGATATATCTTAGCTAATCTTGCCAGGGTAAGTGCCACTTTAGTGGCTAACCTTGACCACTTTAAAACAGGTGAACTTTTGACTCCCAGAATTTCCCAGCCAGCACAGTGACCGAGGTAGAGAAACCCTATACAGGTAGTCCTCGACGTACGACCACAATGGAGCCCAAAAGTTCTGTGGCTCAGCAAAACAATGGGTTAAGTGAGATTTGCCCCATTTTACGACCTTTCGTGCTACCATTCAGTGAATCACCGCCGTTAAATTAGTCACATTGTCGTTAAGTGAATCGGTCTTCCCCATTGACCTGGCTGGCCAGAAGGTCGCAAAAGGAGATCACATGACTCCCTTCCCCCCGGACGCTGCAGCCGTCATAAATACGACACAGTTGCCAAACGTCCACATTTTGATCACATGTTCACGGGGACGCTGCCATGACGGTTAAGTGTGAAAAACGGTCGTAAAGTCACTTTTCACAGTGCCTGTCAGGGCTCCGGCATCCACCCCCATTCAAATCATGAGTCCCTAGCTGCATCGCTCAGAGTTTAAAGAAGATTTATTAGAGGAGTGAAGATGCCAATAATACCTGGGTGTAGCCGACTCTGAGACACATCATTCACCCTTGATCCTGGTCTTCCCCCCACTCCCTGGATGTATATTCTCCAATGGGACACCTCCATAGCCAAGAGTCATCAATCACGCTCCCCAGTAATAATCTTGAGCGCCAGAAGCTTCGGTTTCCTAGAAATGATCTATGAAGCATTTAAGGAATGCACTACTTCCCTCTGCTGGCAACTCTAAAAGGCCAACTTTTTGAGTTGACAGCACCGTCGTAAAGTTAAACGGCCACAAAACGAGCTGTCGCACGTTGAGGACTTCCTGTATTTCAAGAATACCGATCTAGAACGTGGGCAGGAGAGGAAAGAAAGAGAAGAAAACTCACCATTTCTCACCAACATTTTTGGTGCTGTCGGATAATTCGGGGGGGTTGTATTTCTCCAGCTCGGGAACCCCCTTCCGTGGTACAGGGTTGTCCCCCTGGGCCGAGCACATGTAATCCAAGCCACCCAGCTTCCACTCGCCAGCACGGTCCACGTAAACCACGCCCAGGCAGACGTTGTTATGGACAAGGTGACAGTCGTTGACCAGGAAACTCAAGGCTTTCTAAGGAAGGAAAGGGGGAGGGGGGCAGAAGGCGGTCAAGGAACGGGGTCACAGGTCAAGGGTGACACCGCACCCTTAGCCTGGTCAAGAGGGCTCAATTCACACAACCTATGTCAGACTTGGAAGCCATTTTTTTATCTGGAAGCTCCGAGGCTGCCACGATTCAGTGCCTGGGAATTTGAGGGGGGGGGGGGGAATTTCACGGAAAGGTACCCTGTTTCCCTGAAAATACAACCGACCCTGAAAGTAAGTCCTAGCTTGATTTTTTTTTACACAAGCCCAGTATAAGCCCTACCCCCAAATAAGCCCTAATTAAGATCCCACCCACTCCAGAGTGGACAGGTAAAAATTAAGCCAGGGTGGGGATGGCGGGGGGTGGAGCTGACCTCCTACTTACCTTTGGACAGTTGTAGCCAGACCTCGCGCACACCCCGAGACCTGCCTTGCCAGCCCATTTCTTCTGCAGCCAGCAAGGCTGGCAAGGCTTTCCTGAAGGCCTCTGGAGCCGAGAACAAAGCTCAGGATCGATCCAGAGCTCCATTATCCCCTGCAGACGCCTTCAGGAAAGCCTTGCTGGCTGCAGAAGAAGAAGTTCCTGAAGGCCTCGGACAGCGAAAAGGAGGCCAAGGGCGACGTGCACAAGTGAGGTTAGTCAGTGGAAGAACATCTGCCGAAAATAAGACCTGGTGCCTTTTTTAGTGGCAAAAAATTATAAGACAGGGTCTTATTTTGGGGGAAACACAGTAGAAGATGAGACACAGCAACATTCTTTCTCAGAGAGTCAAGGACACGTTGCCCTGCACCTGGAGGGGAGTGACTGGAGGGATGTCTCCAGTTGGGGTGAAGATGTGATTGGGCCATGTGATGGACTGATGGACGGAGGGGATGGATCTTCGATTTCTCTTTTGGGAAGGGAAAATCTGGAACGCTCAGATTCGGGATTTTCCCAAGGGGCCAATAGGACAACTCTAATAAAATGGAACTTTGAGGAATTGTTCATCTCGGAGTTTCTTGGTTTGGAGATGTTTAGTTGGAATGCTGACATCCTGCTTGACCCCTACGGGAAACACAGGCTATAGACCTAATAAACACAGACCACCTCAACTTGCAACTGTTCATTGAGGGACCGTTCAAAGTGACAACAGAGCTGGAAAAAAAGGTGACTTTTCAGTTATGACCTTTGAAGCATCCCCGTGATCACATGATCCAAATCCAGAAGCTTGGCAACTGGCTCATATTTATGACGGCCGCAGCATCCCCCACCCCACTGCAACCATCTGACCAGCCAACTCAAAGGGGGGCGGGGGGAGAGAATAGATTCACTTAACAACCATGTGGCTAATTTAACAACTGCAGTGATTCACTTAACAGCCGAGGCAGGAAAAGTTGTAAAATGGGGCTTTTGTAAAACTCACTGAACCTGTATACCTGTACACACACACACACACACACACACACACACGTATATAGATACCCCGTTTTCCCTAAAACCAAAAAATAAGCCCTTGCATGATTTATCAGGATGCTCACAATATAAGCCCTATCCCAAAAATAAGATCCAGTTAAGATTTGTCAGCCAGGTGGATGTATTTAGTAGTACTATATTTCTCCCAAAATAATCCCTAAGTGGAAAATAAGCTCTAATGAATCTTTTGGAACAAAAATTAATATAAAACTCGGTCTTATTTCCAGGGAAATACAGTAGCTAGGTAGAGAAAGATATGATAGATAGAGATAGACAGAGATATAGAGATAGACAACATACATATATATATATATATATATATGTTGCCATACATGTAAGTACCCGCAAAAACTTAAGAAAACACACACACACACACACACACACACACACACCCTCATATATAGAGAGATATGATAGACATAATAGATAGGCAATAGATAGATATAGATATAGGCGGTAGAGATAGATAGACGATATATAGAGATAGAGATAGATAGATAGATAGATAGATAGATAGATAGATAGATAGATAGATATAGATAGATATAGATAGATAGATAGATAGATAGATAGATAGATAGATAGATAGATAGATGGGAATATAAATCATTTTTCAGATAGGTGATAACTTGGAACAGTCCCTAAGCAAACCGTCATAAGTAGAGGCCTACTTGCACTGAACCCCAGCTCCCCCTGCCCTGATACGGGTCTCCCCAGTACTCACCGCAATCTGATGAAGACCCCAGGAGATCTCCGGCTCACTCAAGCCCTTCCCATCCCCTCGTGACTCCAGGTAAGCCGGCAATGGCGTCACTGGCTCAGTGACCACGTGTAAACTTTTCTCTGTCTGCAAAACCAAAGAAGACGTGGTTCTCATCACGGAGGAATATTTGGGGGGGGAAAGGGCAGTGGGGGGGGAACTCAGGAGAGCGTGACACATAAACCACCACAAGATGGTTGGACAAATGGACATTTGCTAGTTGCAAACGTCCTGATTTCAAGAGAAGAGAATATTTGTAGCTCGGGGTTAAACTGCGGGTCTTTCGAAGCTCGGTTAGTTTTCTTGCAGATGTTTCACAGGGATAAATCACATTTACACACCTTTGAAAAAGGACAATAAAAAGCTAAGAAAGAAACCACCAGACCAGGAAACATTATTTCCAGGAGGCAAAAGCCAGATAAGCAGGGATTAACACCAGACAAAGAATCGAGCAGAAAACATTTCCCTGATCCCGGAACCACCAAGGAGAAAATTACACTGAACCAAGCGACTGTATATAAACAGGGAACAAATTCCACATTCACACATACTAATGATGTTGGGTCATGAAAGATTTGCTTTATAATAGTAATAAAATAATTAAGTACATCCGCAACGAAAGA